AAATTCATGTATATACAAGGATATTTCTCTTGCAGGGCTGAGAACCAGAACAGTCAGAAAAGCAGGGCTACATCTTGACTCTGGCCCTCTTCCCATCTGCTGCAGCATATGTTTTAAGGCTTGTGCCATATTACCTCAGCCATGAGCTATTTTTTTCCAAAGGAAGCTGAAATTAATTTGAAAATAGGCCAGCTTTCCAAAGTGGACTCTCATGGGCTTTCAGTGCACACTGTGTAAATAAAAGATTTGCTTTACAGCTCCTGAGAAGAGGAAATGTAAATAGGAACCAGCTGCTTCTCTGAGGGCAGAGAGACACCTGATTTTATTCCTGTTTTTTCCAGTGCACCAGCAAATGTTGGGGGTGGCAGGGTTCAGTATGTGTGAAAGTGGTTCCCAAACTTTGCCCCGCATTCAAATGAACTCAGGATTGTTAAAAAAGAAAGGAAGAAAGAAAAGTCCTGATACTTAGTCTCTCCTCCAGATATTCTGATGTAATTGGTATGAGGAGTTGACCTAGGCATCAGGATTTTTAAAAGCTCTCCCAAGTGAATCCAATGTGCAGCCAAAATGGAGAAACACTGCCTCGTGGTTGGCCAGTTTGGTAACGACAACAACAGGCACTAAATCTCTAGTCTAAAGGGTGAATTTTACCCAGTTCCATTCATTAGAGGCCCCAGATCCATTCTGGTTCAGTTTCAGGTTCAGGTTCTGACCCTTACTCAGCTGTCTGCTGGGGCACAGGGTGTCTGCTACCCTCTCGGAGCCCGAGTTTCCTCATGGGTGAGATGGGACCAATAACGCTGATTCCACAGAGCTCTGTGAAGATTAAATGCCATGTGAATGTAGTTTGTTTAGCACATTCATAGGTGTTTTAAATTGTTTCTGATGTAACTACCATTTAAATTCATAACCATTAAATTTCAAGTCTTGTAAATAAGTAATTCATATTTTGAGGAAGGAGGGAAAGAAGGCAGCAGGGAGGAAGGAAGACCTATATAGTTGATTCTTCTTTAAAATTGTAGTTTCCCTAGTTTGGATTCCATGCTCACCGAACAATCTTCTGATTATGATTAGCTTCTATGTAAGAAAGCTTCATCCACTTACTTGTTGAACAATATTTATTGAGTATCTATGATGTGTCAAGCTTTATTCTAGACATGGGGGTACATTAACAAACAAGAACTATTTCTAAGGAAGGAAGATAAATAATAAAGTTAATTATATGATATGATAGAAAGTGATACATGTTATGGATACAGATAAAGCAGAAAATGGGAATGAGGGTGATGGGGGGGCTCCGTTTTAAGTTAGGGAAACTGTCCTAATACAATATGTTATGATCCACAGAATAGTCGCCTTCTTTTAAAATGTGTATTTCTTTATTGGCCTTCACCTGGTCTTAGTTGCGGCACGCGGGACGTTCCATCCTTGTTGTGGCATGTGGGATCTTTAGCTGCGACATATGGACTCTTATTTGCAGCATGTGGCAGTTCCTTGACCAGGGATTGAACCCAGGACCCCTGCATTGGGATCTTAGAGTCTTAGCCACTGGGCCACCAGGGAAGACCCAAGATTAACAAACAAGAGCACAAAAGAATTTGTGCAAAGTGATGCCTTTTAATGGATTACAGTTGAGTTTTCTTTAATTTGCAGTAAACTCATTCTTTGTTGTGGGTTGATAATGTTAATATGGTGAATAAAATTATTTTTCATGCATTTCATACTTTTAAAATTCAACACCGTTTTTATAGGTTATTGGTCACTGAGCAAAAACCAACCTGACAAGATGATGCTGGGTCTCCCTATTTCCAGTCATCTTAGGTTGGGTTCCCTCCAAAGCAGATGCTGAGAAGGGGATTTGAGGTGGAATTTTTAATCAGGAGGTGACCTCAGGAAGCTCTACTGGGGGACAGGTCTATGAGACAGGGGAGGCAAAAGAGCCACTACAGTGTGTTAATGAGCAGACTTCAACTGTAGGCGGTGAGACTCAGACCTCTGGGGATCATGTGGAATGAGCCCAAGGAAGCTGGGGTGTATATCTGCCAAATCTGTCCACCCTCAGCTGAGGGCTCCTATATTAGCATATCTGGAATAACAGAAGCATGAGGGTGTGGAATCAACAGTGTCTGCTACACTATGATCAAACCTCATATTTATATTTTACTCTCCTAATTGAGAATTTTTAATGCAATATATAAACAGAAACTACACTGTGATACTCCTTTTCTCAAATAAGTTCTCCACAGGGTGTGGAGGAAAGGGAACCCTCCTACATTGTCGGTGGGAATGTAAACTGGTACAAGCACCATGGAAAACAGTTTGGAGGTTCTTTAAAAAACTAAAAATAGAACTGCTATATGATCCAGCATTTCCACTCCTGGGCATATATCAGAAAAAACTAACACAAAAATATTACATGTACCCAGTGTTCATAGTAGCACTATTCATAATAGCCAAGACATGGAAACAGCTTAAATGTCCATCAACAGATAATGAATAAAGAAGATGTGGTACATACATACAATGGAATACCACTCAGCTGTAAAAAAGAATGGAGTAATGCCATTTGCAGCAACATGGATGGACCTAGAGATTATCATATTAAGTGAAGTCAGAAAGAGAAAAGTCAAAGGCTGTATGATATCACTTATATGTGAAAGCTAAATATGATACAAATACCTATGAAACTGAAACAGACTCACAGACATGAAAGACAGATGTGGTTGCCACTGCTGGGGGATGAGGGGTGTGGGTAGGGGGATGGATTGGGAGTTTGGGATTAACAGATGCAAACAATTATATATAGGACGGATAGACAACAGGTCCTACTGTATAGCACAGGAAACTATATTCAATATCCTGTGGTAAATGGTAATGGAAAAGAATATATATATGTATGACTTAATCACTTTGTTGTGCAGCAGAAATTAACACATTGTAAAACTATGGTTCAATAAAATAAATTTTAAAAAATAAAAAAAAATAAGCTCTCCATATTAGGATATGATATCACAGGTAAGATTGTGGGAAGAATGCTTAAAATTATTCGAAGAACAAGACTATTTTCACACATCCTCAAATGTTTTAGAAACCCCAATTACCTGATGTGCTAATGACAAATCATTATTAACTGTTCATTAAAGCAAACCCTTTGAGAAACACTAATTTGATTTAAACTCGTTAAAAATAACGAAATTGCGTCCTGTAGAAATAGTCTACACTGATTTCTTTCCTTGTTCAAAATGCCTTTTCTAACAGAATACAAAATAGAGAACACTGGTTTGGGGTTTTGTTTTGTTTGTTTGTTTTGTTGTTACCAAATCCAGATGTTCTTCTTACAAAAGGGCAATAGACAGTGAAAATCTCTACATTCTTTGTGTTGCAATGTTATGACATCAGTTGGCGGACATTGGTCTTTCATGTGCTTTAACATTCTTAAAAGCAAAGAATTAAAAGTAAGGCTTTTTCTACACAGGAAGTTGAAGTGAATAGGGACTAGAAATTGTGACTGTCTTCTTTTGTTCACTCATTTCTTTGTGCAAAGGAGTTTCTTTGTGCTTCTTTGGGGACCAGCTAACATGCAACCCAGTGGGGAGGTAAGAGTGGGCTTACAAGATGAGGAAGATACTCAGGACGTCGCTTAGGTAAATGTGGAAACTGAAAGAACAGCAAACCTTAAGGCAACGTTACCATTCATGGACTGTGGTCAGATGTTCCCGGCTTCACGCCTGGCTCTACTACTTACTAGCCTTGTGATTTTCAGCATGTTACTTCCTGTCTCTAAGTCTCAGTTTCTTCACCTCTAAAATGGGGATTCAAGAGGTCTAGCTCAAAAGGTTGTTGTGGTGAGTAAGAGAGATCATGTATTTGAGGGCAGAAAACACAGCCATTGATACATGGTAAGCACATAGTACAGGAAGCTCAACCAAGAGGGCTGGTGAGGGGACTAGAGGCAACAGGGCTCAAAGAGGGTGCAGAAGAGATGGTCCCCGCACTCAGCCCTGGCAGCTATTGCTTCTGCAAAGGCCCTGGACTTGGAAGGCGTTTTTTCCTTGGGTCATCCAGTATTCTTCAGGTCACCTGATCTCTTGATGCAGACACTCTAAGCATTAGGGACTCACCTGATTAAGCAGATGGTTGACTCTTTGATACAAAACAAGGCTACATCAGTGTCCATGTCTGAATACAAGTCTTTTCTTTTAGACAAGTAGCAGGTAGCAGAAACTTAGCCAGACTATAGACTCCTAATTTCAGCTCTGTTATTTCCTGTATGGCCTCAGCCAAATCACTTAGACTCTCTGAGCCTTAGTTTCTTCATCTCTAAGCTGATGATAATACCTACACACTACAGACAACAGTGCATCTAAAGGGTGTCACAGAGCGGATACTTCAGTGATACCCATATTCTCCTGCTACACTTAAAGCCTATCAGAGAGGTTTATATCCAGGGGAGTTTTACATCCAGAGGAGTTTTATTAATACTAGAATGAGTTCTAAAATTCTCTATCCAAGCCTTGAAATGAGGTCCAGGTCTTCTCTTCATCTGAGTATTTACACACTCCCTCCCAGATTGGACAGAAGGCCTGTGTGCAGCTTATCCAAAGCCACAAACGGACTTATCACTTATTTGGTGTTAAATTCTTGAGTATCTGCCACTCTGATTTAGTTCTTGACCTGATAATACACCTTAGTTTGAAAGAACCATCCCTAACTGGAAATGAACCAATCTGAGACTGGTAGCAGCCAACCCATCCAGTGAACTGAATCAAACTCTTCTTTGCCAAGATAAACTGCATTTATTTGTGTGTGGGGGATAATGGCCCCTTGATGTTACCAACTTGGACCTGCCTCCTGGATGCTTATCCCTGTTAGGGACACTCTCCAACAAGTGCTCGATAAGTCCAATGTTTGTTCATGGTCTCTAACAGAAGTGTGATCTTTACAAAGAGATACAGATGGTTTTTATGAGTGTTTGATATAGGTGCTCTTAACTTTTTCAGGGAAAACAGAAGCCTATTTGGAAGCCATCAGAAAAAATATTGATTGGTTGAAGAAACACAACAAAAAGGAAAATAAAGAAGGTAAGGATTTAGTGAGGTTGTTAATTGCAAACATCACCCATTTGTTAGGAGCTCTTATTTTGTATTTTTTTTATTAGCCACGCAGTTTGCAGGGTCTTAGTTTCCCAACCAGGGATCGAACCCAGGCCCCTAGCAGTGAAAACACAGAATCGTAACCATTGGACCACTAGGGAATTCCCAGGAACTGTTATTAAAGAGTCTCATAGTCAAATTAGGCTAAAGTCCCCTCTCAGCCCAAAAGACTTGTGGCACCACCCCTCAGATGCAAAAGGGAACAGACCTCCATTTCTCTCAATTTTCAAATCATCCTTTCAAGCAAAGGCATTTTCTTTTCTGTTCCATTTTGTTATGAAAAAATGTCAAACAGAAGCAGAGAAAATAGTATAATAAATCCCCATGGTCCCATCACCCATCTTCAATAATTACCAACATTTTGTCAGTCTTCTTTTGTCTATCCCCCCACCCCACCTTTTCTTGGAGTATCTTAAACATTTCCTGAGCTCCTATTGCATGCACCCTGCAGTCACAAAGGCAGTCACTCACTAACTTAAAACAAATCACAGAACCAGAATCTGTTCTGAGTGTCAGAAATGTGAAGGACCATACGATGCAGCACCCCCTACCCCCTGCCAAATTACTCACACCATCAATAAGGCTCCGGTGGGCCTCCCTCAGGACTAACATGATAAGCATGATGGTTAAGAGATGAGAGGGCACATCTCTTTACACTCGGAGAAAGGGCTGCAGGAAAGCCTGTGCTGGAAAGGCAAAGAAGAACTTTTGAGTGAGGAGAGATGGAGGCCGAGGGAACACTGAGCACAGAGACATAAATGGACAAAAGAGAGTGATGCATTCTGGGAACGGGAGCCATTCATTTTCCCAGGAGCACTGGGGTGCTCTGCTGGGAGGACCCACAGACAGAGCCGGGGAGATGGGCAGCGGCCAAGTCAGGAAAAGGCTTGTGCACCCTGCAGAGGAGGTTAATTTTAGCCAGAGGAGACTAAATCAGGGCTTAATTAGGTTAACGACTGAGAAGTCTTTCTGGCAGCAGTGTGGTTACAGATTGAAAAAATAAAACCCCAGAAGCCAGGCAAGAGATAGGAGGCAAGGATTTGGAGCAGGTAGGATGGGGCTTAAACAGGGAGAAAGAAGAAAGGAGAAACTGCAGAGCCACATGGAGAGAGGATTCTAGTATGATTTCCCAGGGGTCTGGCCAGAGTAGTTGCAAAGTGATGCTTTTAAAATGAGAGGAGCAGAGCGTTTCAAACTTGAAAATGCATTCGTGACACCTGCCAGATCTCCGAATGCCCACAGGACCACAAAGCCAAACTCAAGGGGCAGGACCCAGGCATCAGTATTTTTTAAGCTCTCATAACCACTGTACAACCAAGTTTGAGAACCGATGAGATAGAACACAGTGGGAACAAGAGGTGTTTCAGCACTCCTTTAGCCTGTGACCATACAAGTTGAGCAAGATGGAAATTATTATCAGGCCTTTATACATACTTTATTTCATTTGGTTCAAAATGATATGAATTAGCCAGCTGTAAGTTCCATTAAAAGTCACATGAACCATATTTCACCAATCTGTCATTGGTTGAAAAATGCACCATTGCTTCATGTACCACTTCAGAAGAAAAATTATAACATGATATTAATAATGTCAGAGAGTTTAAAATTATTTTTAAAGTTTATCTTAGCATCAGTATAATACAGTATGTACCAAAATGCATTCAGTATGTACCAAAATTCAGTGTAAATTTTATGCACCAACCATAGTATTTATGTTCTTTCTTTCACTGATTAACACGCAAATCTGACTTATGGTCATAACTGGCAACATCCTGCAACTCAATCTTTCTGTTCTAGAAACGACCAACTAGTACAGCATGGAACTCTAGTGCTTGCATATTGGAGGCTCTATGAACAAACTTCAGAATGACAGTGTTGGGTTTGGGCTTCCTTCTGCCTCTAGGAAGTGAGGGTGACATGCATTTCACCCTTCTCAAGGCAGAAACAGAGAGCTCTTCGTCCACTACGTTTATATGTGCTCTGCCTGATCTGGGTCATCTCTTAAAGTCTGTGGAGCCTCAGGTCCTAGAGCCAACAGTGGCTGGGACACTGTGAACAGGAAATCTTACCATTGGTTCTGACCTTCCTTACTCTCTGCAGATGCCCTTTGCTTGACAGGGGCCTGGGGTGACCTGAATCTACTTCCCAAATTCAGGAAAGGGAGGTCCACGCCATGTGACAATGAGGAGAATAATGAAATCTTGAGCAGGCTTAAAAAGAAAGTCTGTACTTTTCAAAAAGCGAATCACAGCCCTTATCCTTCTTGAGTCTTAACTACCTTAAAACCATTTTAAGTTAGCAAGGTAGCACTCCTGACGCACTCTAACCACCAGCTAGGGCAGAACCGGGAGGGACTCCAACAGCCTTTCCTCTGCACTGTGCTGGATTTCCACCCCCATTTTCACACAGTGACGGCCATGTCATAAAGAGAGCATTTTTCCCTTTCAAAAGAAAGCAAAATATTTTCCTGTTTGTCTATTCAAATCATCTGTTCACACATGTTTTGGGGGAGTTTGCCTTTTGTCCCACTAGAGATACTGACCCAGAACCAGTTCTGAAAAGCCAGGGTTATTAATAATTTGAACCAGTGCCTCTCAGTGCCCTGTGAGTCAGTCAGGAAGCCCCTTGTGAGGTGCGCACAAGATATACGCTCAGCCTGATTCTGTAACTCGTGCCTGAGAGAAAGGGAAAGTCAAAACTGAAACACAATAGAGCCTCCAAACACTTACTGAATGTCCTGCATGTGTTAGATGCTTCACATTCAGTACTTCAGGGCCAGAGTGATCAAAGCGGTGACTACAGACAGACCTGAATTCAGAACCTGATTCTCTCATAACCCGAGCGAGCGACTTACCTCCTCTGTCCTGTCTGTTCCTCTCTGAAACGGGGACACTAACGCTTTCCTCGTGGGGTTTTGTGAGGAGCAAAAATGATGCAGTTGTAAAACGCTCGGTGCTGCTAGTTAGCTCTTCAGTCGTCATGCCCGTCAAACCAAAAGGAGCAAATGCCCTCCTAACAACCTCTCTCTGCGCCTCATTTCACCTTGATATGATAAACACCTGATCCTTGTAAAGAGGTCCTTCAGGTCTGGTTTTCCTTTCATGCAGAGGCTTAAAGATGCCCGGGTGACCCAGGTTCAGCTTCTATTCAGGCTGCCTAAAGGTGGCCATGGAATGCTCAGAATGCCATGGAATGCTGCGCCCGCCCCCGCTTCTCTTCCTTTTACAAACTGACAGAAGGCAGAACTTTGTTCCAGGGGCTGCCGACAGCCAAGATGAATGGCATGGCACCCAAGAAACTCAGCCTCAGGCAGCTCACGGTCTGGGGGGTGTCGTGGAAGACCTACCTGCCCAATCATGGGGGTCGTGTGTCATTCATTTTGATGCCTCCCTAGAATGTATTGTATGTAGCGATTTAAAATGATGTTTCTGAAGAATATCAATGTTCACTGTGTAAACTGAGTGAAGGGAATTAGTTATTAATATAAGGTTAAATGTACCCTGTGATCACAACTGTGTTGAGATATACATTGAAAAGCTAAAAGGAAACAGAACAAAATATCCACTGAGGTTATCAATGATAATAGAATCCAGGTGATTTAAATACTAATTTAGTGCTTCTATATTTTACATATTTTAAAACAATAAGCATATAACACTTAAGGCATCAAGGGAAGATGTGGGGGTTTTTTCCAAGCCTTCAGAAAGATGCCACCAGCAGCCTCCTTATTTGGTTGAGGATCTCTTTGTTTTTTGTGGATGGTTCAATGGTTTACATAAATTTTTTGTTTAAGTAGGACAGAGGAACCACAAAGAGGTTATGGTTTCGCTTTTCACTCCCTGCATACAATTCAAACAACATGAAAATCAAGGTAATTCTTAATATGGAAAAAAAAGTGGGTTGTCATAGCAACATGGGCTTAGCCAGTGTAACAAGTTGAAGAAGTCAGAGCACCTGGTTCTGATCATAACTGTTACTAGCTATGTGACCTTAAATAAGGAACTTAAGCTTTAGGATCTTGTTACCCACAGTGTGTTTCCTGGACTGGCAGCATCAACATCTCCTGAAACCTTGTTTAAAATGCAGAATCTGGTCCCCCTCCCCTGCTCAGGCCTACTGAATACAGATCTGCAAGTTCCCAACAGCCCCAGGTGATTGATATAAACATTAAAGTTTGTGGAGCCCTGGTTTATGAATCTGTTCCCTTTCTGGTCAAATGAGGGCTATTCTCCCCACCTGGACGCCTCAAAAAGTTGTGATGGAAAGCAGATGGGATAATATAATACATATAAACATGATTTGAAGCTGCAAACTACTGCAACAATGCCAAGATCTAAAATGCCTTCCATTGTGAAATATGGGCCTGGTAACTGTTTTGCACAAAATGCTTCGCCAATAGTAATCAGTGTAATGGATTGTGCTTTCCTGATCTTTGCTCATGATACTTGAATAATATTTTCCAGATTATGACCTTTCAAAGATGAGGGACTTCATCAACCAACAAGCTGATGCTTATGTGGAGAAAGGCATCCTTGATAAAGAAGAAGCCGATGCTATTAAGCGTATTTACAGTAGCCTGTAAAAATGGCAAACGACCCAGGAGTCTTTTAACTGTTTCCGAAAATGTAGTGTAGCTTAAAACACTTCTAATTCTGTGATTAAAGTTATTTTGACCCAACGATTATTAGAAAGTCCTGAATTTACAGTAGTTACTCCTAAAAGTGGTTAAAACAATAGCTTTCTTGCCGTAAATACTATCTGAAAAGTAAAGTTGTATGTAAGCTGAGAGTTTGTATATAGAATTCTTATTTCCTTATAGATTTACATTTTATAACCAGATATATGTTGCTTTGGAAAAGCCTATAATGGAGTGAACTTAAAGCTGAACGCTCATTTCACTGTGTCACACATACAAGTACCCTCCTTGAAGAATTAGGGGGCTCTGTTTTCAAGGCATGCTGGGTACCAAAGCACCTCATAGACTATCTGTTATAAGATGTCACTTCTGTACCTCTTCCCTTTTGGGAGCTGAAATAAATTCACATTTCCTCGAAGCCTCTAGAGCTTAAAGTGTAGCTATCAGCTTTTTTGGCTACCCCTGCTGGCTCTTTATCAGACCCAATGGCACAAAAAGGAACCTGAAAAATAGGCATAGGATTTGCTGGATTTATTAACCATTTCTCCCCACTCTCAACGTTTCCTATTAGTGGGATTTCAGAAATTGAGTTTTTCTCTTAAGAGGGATACCGAACTATGTACTCTCCAAGAAGACAAATGAGGTCATAAAATACTACATAAAGCAAGGTAAAAATTGATGCCAGACTCAAGTTATCCAAACTGAATTTGATCCAAGCCAAGGTTTCTCAACAGAGAGCAAGAGAACCAGGGAGTAGGGTAGGTAGATGTGTGTGTGCTTGACTCTTAGCAAACCCATGGACTGTATCATGCCAGACTCCTCTGTCCATAGAGTTTTCCAGACAAGAATACTGGAGTGGGTTGCTATTTCCTCCTTCAGGGAATCTTCCTGACCCAAGGATTGAACCCACGTCTCTTGCATCTTCTGCATTGGCAGGCTGATTCTTTACCACTAGCGCCACCCGGGAAGCTTGGAAGAGTAAATATAAAGATAAAAATCATTCCCTTCCTTTGGGGGACCATGGACACATGTATATGTATGGCTAAGCCCCTTTGCTGTCCACCTGAAACTATCACAACATTGTTAATCAGCTACACTCCAATATAAAATAAAAAGCTTTTTTTTTTTTTAATCATTCCCTTCCCCGTGAACCAAAGTTTGTAGATGAGCTTCCCTGGAGGACAAGGTTAACGAATGTTAGATCCTTGCAAACCCTCTTCCTCAACCACCACCACAGACACAGTCAAGAAGCAACACACAGTGATGCTTCCTCCTGAAGTGTTAATGCTTTGAATTAACAAACCAAAGAATGCTTTGAAAATATATTATTCAGTATAAATTAATTATATATTTTCTATATATATCAGTTGAAAGTCATAAAAATAACATGTTTTGTATATCAGCTATCTTACTTCAGATGGCTTCTGCTACCTGTCTTGAACACCCCTGCCTCAGTTTTTGGTGAGGAATGGGGGACACACAGAGAAGCTACAAATGGTGTTTTCACGGCGAGGAGACCACTGCTGCTTCTCCCCACCTTCTCTAGAGTTGCAAAAACAAAAATCACAGCCTGACACACAGAGAAACAAAACTCATAATGTTTCAGAAAAGCCAGTGCCCACTGGTGAATAGTGAGAAGGAACTAAAACATCTTTGCCTGCACTATACTTGCCAAAGCACAATGAGTCAGACCATTTGAATGACTCATCTTTGATAAATGACTCGATTTCACCATGGCCTGTAGTCCAAAAATGCTGCTTCTACATTAGAATTAACTGATGGTGACCCAAGCATTTTCTCCGTTCACTTGTCTAATAGTTTATCTAAATATCTATGCAGTATTTTTAAAATAAGGTATTTACTAGGGGAGTTCATTATAGCTTTCAGAGCACACTGACATTCATTAGTTCCTATTGATAAACAAGACAGAAGGAGATTGTCAGTCCTGTTTAATACATGAGGAAACTGGTTCACAGAAAGGGCACTGGACATACTCAAACTCTGATGGCCAGGAAATGATAAAGCCGGGATTAGAACCCAGATTCTTGTCTCGGTTCCTCCTCACAGTGCTTCTGTGTGCAAGTGACTAAAGGACTCTAGTCCAGCACAGTTCGACCGTGGCCTCGGTGAATTCAGTTTTCAGTATCTTGAAGATGAGGGAAGAGATGTTTTGGCTAGAAATTGCTAAGAGAGACCTTAGGCAAAAATAAAATAACTCAGAAAAATGTTCCTGAGATTGTGCCCTTCATTTCCAATTTGTCTTCTGGATAGTATTTTTGGATTTGCATTTTTTTGATTACTCTCAAACTTCATATTATTTTATCATAAAAAATCTTTACATTAAAAATAACTCCTGGACATTTTTTTTAAAGAGGCCTTGACCTTTCCTTATATACATGACTGTTTCCCTTCAAAAAAAATTTTTTTCTTTTACTTTTTGCTTTTTCAACTCCTTCCCCATAATGTAGGTAGGAATGGCTACATGAAAATAGCAAAGCATGATCAAGAGATAACCATATAGCAAAAATAATAATAATGTAAGGGAAAAAATGAGCAGTTATCATGAGAAAAAGCATGAGAAAAAATTAGGGGAAAAAACCCAAAACACAAGGGATTATGTACATTATGAACAAGTGAGAAATTTAAGACAAGGGCAAACAGCTGCTTTCCATTCATGCCCCTGTTCAGTTCAGTTGCTCAGTCATGTCTGACTCTTTGCAACCCCCGGATGGCAGCATGCCAGGCTTCCCTGTCCATCACCAACTCCCCAAGCTTGCTCAAACTGTTGTCCATTGAGTCAACGATGCCATCCAACAACCTCATCCTCTGTTGTCCCCTGCTCCTCCCGCCTTCAATCTTTCCCAGTATCAGGGGCTTTTCAAATGAGTCAGTTCTTCACATCAAGTGGCCAAAGTATTGGAGTTTCAGTTTCAGCATGAGTCCTTCCAATGAACACCCAGGACTTATCTCCTTTAGGATGGACTGGTTGGATCTCCTTGCAGTCCAAGGGACTCTCAAGAGTCTTCAACACCACAGTTCAAAAGCATCAATTCTTAGGTGCTCAGCTTTCTTTATAGTCCAACTCTCAGATCCATACATGACTACTGGAAAAACCATAGCTTTGACTAGACAGACCTTTGTTGGCAAAGTAATGTCTCTGCTTTTTAATATGCTGTCTAGGTTGGTTATAGCTTTTCTTCCAAGGGGCAAGCGTCTTTTAATTTCATTGCTGCAGTCACCATCTGCAGTGATTTTTGAGCCATCCAAAATAAAATCTGTCACTGTTTCCCCATCCATTTGACATGAAGTGATGGGACCAGATGCCATGATCTTAGTTTTCTGAATGTTGAGCTTTAAGCCAACTTTTTCACTCTCCTCTTTCAATTTCATCAGGAGGCTCTTTAGTTCTCCTTCACTTTCTGCCATAAGGGTGGTGTCATCTGCATATCTGAGGTTATTGATATTTCTCCCAGCAATCTTGATTCCAGCTTGTGCTTCATCCAGTCCAGCATTTCTCATGATGTACTCTTACGTTAAATAAGCAGGGTGACAATATACTCTGTTGGTCACCCTTAAGGCAGCCACTGTTGGTCAGCCTTAAGGGGTGAATCTGTGCAATTCTGGTATTGCACATTCTGTTTCATTAACCCCGGAGGGTACTTGTTTTCATTTTCGTGGAAGACCTGGAGGAGCCAGATGGAAAAGAAAATGAGGAAAGAGAAAAGAGGGAGAATGGAAAAAATGTCCTTCCTTGCCTCACAGAAAGAAGAAGAAAGAAGACCCCTTTTAGGAGGGATAAATATAAGGACTTTTTGTGGAAGCTTAAAGATTTATTTAACCCAATTCCTGAATAGACATTGAAAAAAAATTTAATTGTATGGAATATTAGTCACAAGAAGGAGTAAAACTGAGTCAGCTGTAGTGAGATGGATGAACCTAGAGTCCTGTCATACACAGTGAAGTAAGTCAGAAAGAGAAAAACAAGTATCATATATTAAGGCATATATGTGGAATGTAGGAAAATGGTACAGATGAACATATGTGCAGGGCAGGAATAGAGATGCAGACATAGAGAATGGATGTGTGGACCCGGGAGTAGGGGAAGGGGAGAGTGGGGCAAACTGGGAGATGAGGATTGACATATATATACACATTACTATATGGAAAATAGATAAGTAGTGGGAACCTGCCGTGTAGCACAGGGAGGTGAGCTCAGTGCTTTGTGATACTGACCTAGAGGGGTAAGATGGGGGGATGAGTGGAGGGAGATCCAAGAGGGAGGGGATATATGTACATATACCACTGGTTTATTTCCTTGTATAGCAGAAACTGATACAACACTGTAAAGCAATCATACTCCAATAAAAAAATATTTAATTATAAATAATACCTTGCTTAAAGTTTACTGTAAAAGACAAATTATGTGACTAAAAAGCTAACTAAGTCCTTAGTCCTTCAAATGAACAAGAGTGACTGTACAACATTCTATAACATGACTTATCAATGAAATCTAAGCTAGAATTTACCAGTGGGTCTAGTCTTGGCATTGTTTACTTCTTCTTTGATATATTCCATGTTTTCACTATATCTGAAACACAAGTCAGATTATTGAGATGCAAAAGTTACTGGTAATTGCAATTTATTTGCTTTTAGATTTTTGAAACCTTTTCCAAAATTGCGATTATAACAATAAAGATCATTAAAGTAGAGAAGCTGTCACCATTTAAAACTGTAATTTAAAAATCTATCTAATATTTCCATTTGTTGAAAAAAACTGAAGACTCAATTATGAAAACATAGTTTATTTTCTCATTCAGACTTCTGTAGTTTATTTTTACAAAATAGCAGACAAAATTTGCTTTATAGTCATACATATCGAAATATATATATATAGCACTTAAGTTATAAACACATAGCAAAATCAGCATACAGCAACCATGTTTTTCACATAATTAGGATTTCTCAGGAGATAAACATTATTTCAGCTTGAATATGTAAATAGTGTTTGAGGCTTTATGTCAGCTAGTGTTTACAAAAGCTAGAAACTAAAAAGCTAAAAACTACCACCACCGGCAAAAGTGATGAGCATTAAGACCCAGTTTTGCAATCATGCCATAATAAAGACTGAAAGTCAGAGAAAGCCTGAGGAAACTAGTGACTTCAGTGCAACTGCCATAGCTGGAACTAACTAATTGTGATTTAAAGATGTATGCTATGAGAATCCAAAAAGGATGCTTCTGAATCATCTGTTGTTGGTTTCTTTATGATCCAGCCATCTCTTAACCAGGTTAGATTATGTCCCCTGATCATCTAACTATGATAAAGGGAAGCTGTATAGAGACTTTCTTCATCTCTGAAAAAAAAAGAAACAGCACAAATCAGTGTTTAAAAATTGTACTCAGAATATACATATATTAATTGTACAACTTAATATCCAGGGTAGGAGTTATATCAATTTATAACATCATGCATGCCTTGAAAGTTGTACAAAATGCAAACACTAAGGTATACTTCATTGTCCTCATTTTACTGCTGTCTCAGTTATTGGAATAAAGAATAGTATTTGTCATATATTTGTATTTGTTTATACTATACAAATTTATATTAAATTATAAATTAATTAAATTCATAATTTAATATAAATTTGTATAGTATAAACAAATACAAATATATGACAAATACTATTCTTTATTCACATTTATATTTGTTTGTATCTTTAATATTCTACCTCTTTGTCAAAATGATTTGAGGTACCTACAACAAAAGGCATATATATATATATAATAAGATGGGTAAAACAGAAATTAAAAATCAGGACTATGGAAAGGAGAAGGATAAAATATATTAAGGTCTTCCCAGGTGGCTCAGTGGTGATGAATCCGCCTGCCAAGCAGGTGACTCGGGTTCAATCCAGGGATCAGGAAGATCACTTGGAGAAGGAAATGGCAACCCACTCCAGTATTCTTGCCTGGGAAATCCATAGACAGAGGAGCCTGGCAGACTACAGTCCATGGGGTCACAAAAAGTTGGACACGACTGAGCAACTAAACAACAACAAAATACATTAACCATCAGCAATGATTAGTTGAACTGAGGACCAGTTTTGGCTGCAAGCTTTCTGGTAGCCAGGGCAAAAAAGAAAACAGAGTAAGTTGTGTCATTCTAGGAATCATAAAGGAAGAAGGAAATCGATTCTATAAGAGAAAGTTTTGCCTTAGTACCAAATTAAAGAACAAAAGGAAAAGTTCACATGAGACCTTATTTAGGAAAACATCTGGTAACCAATAATAGACAATGTCCTTGACAAGTTTCATGAAGAACAGCATTTTACAAGCATTCTCTAGGACACTGCTTCCTCTGATGGTATCAACTAGAGGTCTACTTGGACACTCTCCAGAATTGCTTAGCTGGATAGTTATGCTATTAAAGCAAAGAAGTAAATTTTGTATAAGTACCACAAACAAAAGCACTGCAACAGACAATGCTTTATACAGATTGCAGTAGCTCTGTTTACACTTTATACATTAAAAATGCCTTTCTAGTATTAAAATCTAGTTTTAAAGGCAAAAAAAGACAAGTTGACCAAACAAGGACATCTTAAGAGTAATTTACTCAGCCTCTGACATTTTTCCAGGGTATTTTTACCTGCTCTCTTCTTTCAGTTTCTTGGCTGCCTGTGTTGATAACTTAATCTGCAAGTCCAGCCTCTGCAGGAAATCTCTGGCTGATACTTCCTCAGGCTGTATGGGCTGAACATCCAATTCTTGAGGGCTGGGAGGAGAGACGTCTTCCCCAGCTGCTACCAGCTCCTCTTCATGAGAAAAACTATCAACAGTTTCATTTTCTGGAGAATCTACTGAGTTAAGTCCATTAAACAGCAAAGGCTTCTCTGATATAACTGGGATGTTCAAAGTTTTCTTCAGAAATATACAATCATTCGTAAACAGTTTATTTGCCCTTTTAATTTGTTCCATCTAAAATGTTTAAAAAAAAACAGTTACATATAAATAAATCAAAAAGTAGGGCTTATTACACAACACAAGCTAAAAATATTCATGAGCAAAATATGCTTTCTCTGGATCTGAGATTCTTGATTCCCAGACACCCCCAGTTATTTCAAGAGATGCCAGAAAATCCTCTTTCACAATTTTATAAGAAGAAAGACTAACTTTTCCCCAGTTGTATTATTTCCCCTCTAAGGCAGCTTTTACCAAACAACTTAAATCCCTAAAGTTAAAAAATGTAGAATATTTAGCAATTATTTAATACATTTCAATCATATTTTAACATTTGTATTATCTGATTTAAACAAATTTCCCAGTGCAGTGATTTTCTTTATGGAGTTCTTCCCATCTCTAGAATTGTGTTTGGTAAATTTAATGGACACAGGAGGTGGTAAAGGAAGAAAGTACAAAAATTAGGAAGAATGGTGTAGGCTGGGACTTCAGTCATTAAGGCCTCACAGAGAAGGTGGGGCTCTGATTTTGACTGTCCTGACTTTAGATGGGGGCTTGAAGAACGGGTAGAACTAGGACACGTAAGGAAAGAGGTAGGGAGCAGTTTACATGGAGTATCTTATTTTCTCTACCTTAAGGATTAGGTACTTGAAAATCCACTTTACAAATAAAAGAAACAAAATAAGGAGATTATGTACCATGGAATCACCATGCAATTGGGAGATGCAGAAGCCAGAATTTTATACAGGTTTCAAAACTTCAAACTCTTTCACAGCCTGTGAATTCCTCCAAACCAAAGAAATGGAGATGGAAGGTGAAAGGGGAAATGGAATTTGTATATGTTACCTCACTTAACCTTCCTAACAGTTCTGCAATATTATCATCTCCTCTTTTACAAATGGGGAGAGATTGAAGTGGCATGCCTAGGTCCCCAAATGCAGGTAAGTGCAGACAGCATCCTTGGCTGCACTGGTGCAGAGCTGTCAGGGAAGTACCTGCTTAGGTTCATCACACCATACTATCACGCATCTGCAGACCTCTCCAGCCAGCTAGCCTGGGAACTTGCACCGTGCAAGTAGGCTCTTTATATGCACTATACCATCTAATCTTGTGAGATATGTCAACAAGACAGCTTGGAATAATAGCTAAGCACACAGGTTTGGGGATGTGACAGATCTGTTTCAAATCCAGCTTCACCAACACAAACTGTCTGAACATAAATTTGTTACTTATCTCATTATGCCTATTTCCTCATGTATAAAATAGGTATCATCTACCCTTCACAGGGTAGTTAGAGGGATTAAATGGGAATTTATATGTAAATATGCATACAGGATAGAGGCACAGATGTAAAGACACAGATGTGAAAGGGAGAGACAATTTAGCAGTAAATGGTACTTACTTTCCATTGTCCTACGAAGAAATTAAGGCAAAAGAGATGACTGATCTGACCAAGTGTACATGGTCTGTATAAGCCAGAATTTCTGTCTGACTCTGAAGTCCATACAACACCAAGATTAAAGTACATGACTAATGGAACCCAATTCTGGGATCCTTTAATGCCAAATCGATTGAGTGAAAAAATTAGATTTCTACTTCAAAGAGCCTGAAAAAATAAGTCAAATAAAATACACCCTGTTCCTCCTACTTTCTAAATATAAGCTGAATCCACAAAAAAGCACATTCAATGCTATCTTTTATTTTTTGTGGAGGTGGTCTTTTATGTTCTAGTTTCTAGTTAAAGGAGAGAAGGCAAGGGTGAGAAAGAGCATATGCAGACACGTTTTAGAGACAAAATTAAAATCTCAGAATCATTAAAGTGTCTCTGGTCTAGTTTAGGCTTAGATTTGAGCCACTTAAAGAACTTGAAAATGTGTCCAGAGCAGGTTCAGGTATATCCTAGTCTGCCTTTAGGACCTCTTGTGTCCATCACCTAGCATCCACGTCCTCTATCTCTCTTAGTAAAAGGGCTTCTGAGGACACTGAGCCCTCGCCTGGCTCCAGGGTGAACACATGACTCATTCCTGCCCTTTGAAGCATCACGGTGCCCAAGCTGTCCTGACAGGTCACACTCCCACCTCGGAACAATTCAGAGATGCAAGGAGACTTCTGCTGGGTCTGGGAGGTGAAGGACTTCTATTTTTTCTTTAAGAAAGAGATAGGTCTGGAGCTGCTGGCAGCCATCCTTTTACTGCAAGGAACTTAACTACAGGATCACCTTGGAGGAGATCATTAGCGCTCTGAACCAAAGCCTGAAGCCCCAAAACCCTCATGCCCTTCAGTTCCAGTAATAAGCCAGTAAATGACACTTTTTTTTTTCCGCTCAGTTCAATTTGAGTTTTCTGTTACTTATAAATGCAAGAACCCTCTTTGATACAGTGCCCTTTGAAATACTTATTGGCAGAAGCCTACAATTGCTAAGAGTCACTGCAATCTGGAAATAACGATGGAAGACAGAAACAGCTGGGAACACCAGGATATGGTTGTTGAGGATGGGCTGGGAACATCAACCATAAACCATGAATTCCCTCAGGACAAGACCTGCTATTTCTATAGCTTCCCAGGTAGAGCAAAGATATATACACTAAGTGCTTAGGATGGATGGATTAATTAATTAACATAGGTCAGAGAAATTGGAGGAGGAAATGGCAACCCACTCCCATATTCTTGCCTAGAGAATTCCATGGGCAGAGGAGCCTGGTGGGTTACAAAGAGCCGGACATGACTGAGCATACATGAACATATGCAGAGAAACAGGCATAAAAGATGAACCCAGAGAAGTAACCAGAAAGCGGTAGTCAGTTACCTGTTGTGTTGGTTTTTCTCCCTTTAAACCCACCCTCAGCTCCCAACCCATCCCCCAGTCTTCTTGAGCCTGTTCTGACCCCAGGAGGCTGACCTCATCAGAACTGCACTTCCCAAGGCCCCTTGTTCTTGGAATTCCGGTCGGTGTTCCAAAAGAAGGCCGCCAGCAGAATGGCCACACCATGACTCTGGTGCCTGCATCCCTCTGTGGCAGAGTTCCTGCCGGGAGCCCCTTCGTCCACTCCTCCCATCCTCCTCAGTTTCGGGTACCACACTCCTTCCCCAGCCCTCAGGCCTAGGAGTAATGTCTCCCTGCTGTTGCTAGTCTCAGGTGCTTCACCATCCCTTAATCCCTTAATCCTATTCCCACTTCTACAAATGTCTCTGCATTAAACCCTCAAGGGCCGCACCCTTGGAGTGTGCTAGCTGTAGTCTTTGGGGACCCTGATACATCTATCACTTAGAGCAAGAAAGGCCATCTCAGCCAGGCAAGGGGCCGATGACAGGAAGCACAAGACAAGAGACTGAGTCCACAGCTGGGTAAAGCCAGGGAGACCCCAGGGAGTGAAGGGCTGGGCCCCCCAGCTCTCATGCATGCCACTGTACCACTGATGCGACAATAGAACTGCCTCTTTTAACAAGTCTATGAGCGTCTCCAGGTCAGGTCACCTCCATTTCAGCATTGCCAGCAAGTATTTAAGTTATATGTTGAGTCTGATGATCTAGATTCTAAGATGACACACAGATGCCAGCATCAAGAACATCAGCAATATCCAGACACAGTTGGCATCAAGGTGGGAACCAATCTAAGGACCGGCAGATTTGAAACTGAAGGTGAAAACAGGTAAAGGAGGTTAATATAAGGTTGCAAGCAGAAACAAGGGCTCTGGCTTTACCATTTCCTAATCATTCCCTATGTCTGTTTTCTTTTCTGTAAATTAAGGAAAATAATAGTACTTTCTACACAATATGATTATTATGACAATTCAATGGATTAATTCAGGTAAAACATTTATAACAGTGCATGGCACACAGGAAGCACTTAAAAATGCTAGCAACTATCATTAAATTTGGTTAAAAGTGAGAAAGCAACAATAAGGGCAGATCCTAACATGGATTCAGCAAATGAAAACGAGGTAGGAATTTTCTCTCAATAAAAAATATTTATCCCACAAAGTAAAAATATATAAAGAAAATTTCATATAAACAATCCCAGATGAGTAACATGTTGTCACTGCCCCAAGGTAACAGCATTAAGTTTTTTTCTTTTTAAAAGCTATTTAATTTGATCTTAACTTGTTCTTTTTTACAAGTATAGGCTCCAAACTCTGTAACCAATAGTAAAGTTAAGGAATGAAACCAGCCATGCAAAAAGTCAGGGGAAACAAAAAAGGATTCTTGCCAGAGAGAGTAGTTGCAAGGCCCCAGCTGAAATTTCATGGCTGAAATGTAGAGAGTAAAGAGCAAGCTGTATGTCACTCATATAATAAATAACATTTGGATTTTATTTTAAATGTGATGGGAAGCCATTGGAGGGTGTATGGAGGAAGTGAGTGGAATGATTTGAAGATCATCCCACTTTATGGAAAATGGATTGGTAAGAAAGAGGCATTAGTGGAAACAGGAAGCCCAGTTATAGAAGAAACTGCAGTAGCACAGACAAGGGATATAAATAATCCCAAACTGAAATATTTTAATTTGCTTTGCAATGTTTTATACTTTCATCTGAACTTAGATGGGTCTAAGGTTCTGGGAATTTCACCTCACATAAAACTAAGAAAAGTCATGATCCAATCCAAGGAAAAGCTGAAAAACTCTATACCTTTCCCCACCTGCCCTCCCTTCAGTATCTCCAACTACCCAATGAGCGCTGAAAATAGAAAGTGTGACCTTTTCAGAGTAATGCATATCTACCCTTTGTTTCCTGAGGGCAGATGATTAGGAGGGGGAGACACAGCAGCCAAATGCTTTCATTTTAAGTCTTTCCTAATCAGGACTGAGTAGCATGACTCAGTGAAATTTACCATCTGCTCACTAAGAAACAGATCATGGAATAATCCACTAAGAGCTGACAGGACAGCCCCAAGGACCACTGTGGTAAAATCAGGTGGAACAAATCTGTCAACAACTTGTTTAAAATGACTCCCCAGTAAATACACAGTGCAAAGGTGAATTCACTCTGAATTCACAAAATGTCTCCCGGAAAGTGATCT